CACCCCCAAGTCCCTCTCGGCAGGGCTGCTCTCCATCCTTTCTTCCCCCAGCCTGTACTGATACCGAGGGTTACCCCGACCCAGGTGCAGGACCTTGCACTTGGCCTTGTTGAACCTCATGAGTTCATTTTTGTGAAAATACTCTGAGCCGAGAGGACAGCCGCGGGAGGGGGGCACGGGGCGGTGCTCACCACCACCAGCGATCTCCAACCCCAGCTCGGAAGGACGCCCACCATCCGCCCTCGCCCGGCAGGACCCGGGCTTCCCGGGCGCTGCAGTCCCAGCAGAGAGGCCTCTCGACACCGCATCCCCAAAGCCACAGTAAAGCTCCACAGCAGCTGGTTCTGCCCCAAAAGCCCTGTCCCCCCCAAAAGCCCACCTTCACTCCTGCCGTTGTCACTCCAGCTCTGTGAGAGCCATCGGTTGTTTCTCCTACATCTTACACCAACCGCCCGCTCTCAGGAGCGCAGAGCTCGAGCTGGTGAGACAACAAGCCCTTGCTTTCCCCCCCACATTTCTGTTTGACCACAGCGAGACCCCCACCTCCGGCGCGGTGGCTGGGGTGACTTACCCGACGGATCCCGAGCACCTCGGGACGCGGGGTGGGCTGCAGGCTGCTCCGCTGCCTCTGCACCGGGGGCTCGCACCAGCGGCCGTCGGGAAGGCGAAGACAGCGATCGCTGACCGACGGCGTCTCCTCCACGCGAGCAGTCACGGTGACGGCACCGCACTTGTACTGGAATAGTTGGCTTCGTTCACGGGGGCTGGCTTGGCAACAGCAGTAGTGGGGCTGGAAACGTGGCCCCGGGACCTTCTGCGGAAGGGCCACCCTGCCTGGCAGCACGCGGAACTCCCCGTCTCCCAGCAAACCAAGGCATCCCAGGAGAAAGCGTGGGTTTACAGTTCGAAGCCGGGTATCTACAGTAAGATCATCAGCAAACCCCTTCCACCACACCACGCATGAACACAGGGCCACCTCCCAGGACCCCACGGTCAACTGACTTCACAAGGATGTTCAACAAGCAGATACAGCCTCGCCCGTGCCGGCAATCCTGCTCTCCTCCACACACTGGGGGTCCCACACAGACGGAGTGGATTTGGGCTGGGACCAGAGGAGCGCGGGGACCCCAGAGGAGCACGGGGACCCCAGAGGAGCTCTGGTTCCTCTGGCTCCAGAGGATCAAGTTAAATGTCCACAGAGGAGCTCTCGCTTCCTACACCACCAACACCCAGGGCAGTAATACCGTAGCATCAGCAACACGTTTTTTTTTTTTTGTAGTAAGGAGAAAAAGGTGTAGAACCAGAAGTGCCTTCTACTGGGGCGCAGACTCTTAAAGCATTGTATTTAAAATTATTTATTTGATATTTGTCTTGGAACTGCCTTGACCCCGCTAGGCTATTTTGGTACCTCAGGTCTTCACGTAACGCCTTGACATGAAACCACATCCTGGGTTTAATACCCAAGACAGGCGGTGCATTTCGGGGTGTTTGCACAAGCACTAAGGGTTATAAAGCTCTGGTGACGCTGCTGCTCCAGGCGGAGCGGACGATGGACAGCCCATGCGTGGAACTCGCCCACACGGGGCATTTAACAGTTTGCCAGTAAGTGTTTGCAAACAAGCAAGAGGGTAAAGCAAACTTCTGTGCAAGCAAAGACCTGAGGGGTTAACTCCTCTAGGGCCACGCTATAAAAAGGTTTCAGACTTCAAAGGCTGCACCTTTCTCTGGAGGAATCAAAACCAAAGCACAGCAAGGCTCGGAACAGCAACCCCAATTAAAGGACCCAAATTAAAGCCACGCAGACCTTACAAAGGTGAATTTGCAAGCAGAAAAATAAAAAGGAAAAAATCCACCACCGGGGATTCCAATAAAAAGAAACAGGAGGACTGTGCAGATCCCCAAGCGACAAACTGAAGCGGGGGGAGGATTTCTGGTAATAACGAGAGAAAAGTGCCATCAGAAAAGAAGGCTTCTGAAATGCCACAAACTGGACTTTCACTTTTAAAACCCATCACTCCAGCCGTGCAGCTTTTTAAGCGAGCAAAAGCAGCTGAGGGGCTGTAAGGGAAGGGGCGAGGGCGCCGCACGCCACGGGGACGCCAGGATCTCCACCGTGGTTGTTACTGCTCAGACACTGCTGGGACAAGAGTCCAAACCTGCTCTAAGGCAGGGCCCAGTACCTAAGGAAAAAGCGTCCCTGAAGGAAGCGCTGAAGCAAAGGGCTCGCTCCCAGCTCGTATTAACTGCAAAAAAAATAGCACGTGGCAACAAAAGCATAAAAAAAATTCAACAAGCATTATTTGGAATGAAAATAGAATTGTATAAAGTGTATTACAGGATGTTCTATCATTTAAGAAGTAATAACATATTTATAGATCTTTTATTACATAGCGATCACCCAAAGAGAAGGAAATAGATCTTTAATCCATGTACAGTATAAAGAAAAGAGCAGAAAAAACACTTTCCCATTCAACAACATTCTAAAGATGCTCTTTAATCCAACATTTAAGCATTAAACATTTCTCAGTAGTAGGCTGAACTACTCAATACAGTAGGTTTCAGTGCACTGTCCAAGCGGGTGTGGAACTGCACACACATCCAGAGGGCTTTGTGGAAACCCAGAATTAATCCCCTCGGCTTCCTCCACCACAGAGCAGCCACCGCCGTTACAGAATCGCTGGCCTTCATTTCTTAGACCAAGACCCAGGACACCCTCCAATGGTTGGTCATGCAACCCTGCCAACCCGCGGAATTCCAAGATCGAGCCTGTGTGAACGTTCCCGTGAGCAGGGGGAATTTACCTGATTTCTAGGTACCGTTCGACGTAAGCCCCAATTCATCTGAGCAACGGTAGGAAAAGCCATCGCTGTTCTCCTCCCGCACCCGCAAACTGCTCGGGCTGACCAAAGCGCGCGCGCGTCGCACGCGGCGTCCGACCGACGGTACACCTCGAGCGCTGCCAAAAAAACGTATCCCGAAAGAGACACGTGCAAAGCTTATCTGAAAGAGTCACCGTTTCCACCATCATCTAAAGAGGAGGGAAGAAAGCATGTGCAACATTTTAAAGTGAGCGAAGAGCGGCTCTTTAATAGCGCTCGACTGCATCCAAGTCCATCTCCCGTCGCCCGGGGTTGAAAGCCACACAGAACCCAACGCTTGGCAGAAATCTCGGGGACCATTTCTTAACTGGCAGCAGAAGGGGCTGTAAAACTGTAACGGTGGGAACAGCTCTGATGTAAAATAGGGCAAAGCAGCAAGTAAAGATATCTTACATAAGAGAAACGTACTTATTTCATCTCCATTAAGTACAGGGAGCTGCGATCGGAGCTAAATCTGGGACAGAGACGCGCATATGGGACTCGTCTCCTGACACACTGCTGTGATTTCCTACGAGCAGGCTGGGACCAAAAATCACCTCATCTGTGACTCCTCCGTGAGAAGGATTGGCACATGGTTTTGGCAGCTACGAGCTTGATAGACAGCAGACCAGGCATGCCACTCTGGTTAGCAGATGCACCATCGTGGTAACCCCGCATAAATCAAGCTTTCCGAAACGCTCATCATTAAAAAAAAAAGGAGAAAGAAAAAAAAAAAAAAAAAAAAAAAAAAGGAAAATGAGTTCAAGTGCTGGTGCTTTATCTTTGCTATCTATGCTCACCCGCAGGACATGGCAAGTGCGAGGCGAGGAGCGGCCCCTGCTCCTGCTCCAGCCCCACGCCGCCGGAGGGCACCCGGGGAGGAGCGCGCCCCGTCCCCCTTCGTTTGTCCACGCTGCTGCTTTCTTAGCCGAGGCGAGAGGAACACCAATGCGACAGAATCACCTTCCTTGTTGGGCTACATTTTGAAAGGTTTCCTGAAAAGAGCACTTATTTGGGGAAAGAATAAAGTGTGTCTTGAATGGACCTCTCGGCTGACTTCAGCATCCGTATTCAAAGATACGAACATACTTGAGATATCAGTGGTATCCCTAAGACCCGTGTTACGCATGAGAGATCGATACCGCTAGAACAACATCGGTCTTACCAAGAGAAGAGAAGTAAATCATCTGAGAAACTGAAGATCACATTGAGGTTATCCCACAAAATCAGCATAAAAATAAAAACTTAAACCTGGTATTTACAGATTAACGAATAAAAATATGAAGTGGGACTATCGGAACTGCTATTAAAGTGACATTCAACAGTTAACTGGAACCCTGATATGAGTGTAACATCCTCCCGCTTCCCTTCCTTTTTTGTTATAAAAACAGTATTTACATTTTTTTTGTTGTTTCTGAAGAGAACTGGTTGACATTATTGCTTGATCCTTTTTAGGAAAGACATTCCAATGAAGCAATTATTCCACATGCTGACAAAACACAGAATATACCATTTCAAGAGTGACAAAAGTTAACATTTTGTTCATCTAAAAATTATATTCATCTGCTAGGTCAGCAGATCACATGTAAATATAAGCCAATCAAAAATACATTTTACAAAAAATAATCAAGTTTCCTTTTTCAATATGGCAGTAAACATAATTTGTTCTTTCACTCTCACCTTCCACAAACTTCATTCTAAATAGGAGCTTACTATTTTTTCACAAAAAAAAAAAAAAAGATAAATTTGATTAAAATTGTTATTTTCATAAACAAACACAAAGCCCAGCTTACACCTGACGCGTCTACCAAAAGTCACTTCTGAGTTGCTGAACACCTACGTGGAAGCGTAGTCTTTGTCCAACAGCGAGGGGACTTCCCTGGTGCGCAGCACACCTAATATTACAATCTTTTAAGACTTTCTGAAGTGCTAGCTAGGAACCACCGGCTCTTCTTCCAGGCAGGGACTACCCTCCCATAGCTGAAAAGACACAGCTTTGTATTTGACTATGAACGTTAAGCAGCTTTCTCCACGAAACAGGAAGGCACCATGCACATAGCAGTTGAGGCAGGAAGCAAACAGCAGCAACATGACGTGTGAATTTTAGGTTCAGATGAGTTAAGGCTTCTGTTAAACTTCTTTATCTTCTTCTAGTTAGAATCACTATCTGGAAAGAAAAAAAAGAGAAGCAACTGAAGTAATGGCGTGACACGGTCACGAAAGCAGTCAGACCCCTCCCAGCGGAAGAGGAAGCCCACAAATGCCTACTCCTGTCCTACTGCCACTGTGGGTTCGTCCGACTGGATGCACTAAATGCCCCCGAGCTGCCCAGAATACTGCTGGAACGACACATGCCAAGGTTTACAACACGTATGCAAGCCCGTTGCCCAGCGCTCTCGTTTGACAGCAGCACCATGGAACAGCAGCACTGACAGGCTGAGTGTCGCTAAAATACAATTATCTGCAGAGAATCAGTGAAGCCATGTCACCTGTGAATGGAAACGTCACCTCTGCGAAGCCCGCTCTGCCTCGAGGCAGAATTGCTTTACATTTCTGGGTGGGTTTTTCACACTCAGCCCACTTTAATGTTTATGCTTAGGGAGCTGTTTCCTTAATGGGTCAGAGTAACATTTTCCACGTGCGCTATTATCGCTGCATATTTCCGCCTAGCAAAGCCCCGCTGCCTGTCAGAAGGTACCTTTTCAAACCTGATTCTCATAATGGCTCTGTCTCTTCTTTGATTTCAGCTCCTTCAGCCACTGAGGAGAATTTTCTTCTAACCTAAGATATATAAAAAAAAATACCCTTTATTCTTTAGTTACGAAAACTCATTACAGAAAAAACAAAACAAAACAAAAAAAGAACTATACAGTTTTCCCTAAAAAGAAGCCTACTTGCATTTTGGGGTTTTTTTCCCCTACCCAAATAAGCATTAGCATCTTCCTGACGCTCTGAAGCCTCTCACCTGTCCTCCTTCTCTACGCTGGAGGGCAGCACTCTGCTACCAGGCGTTCCAAGCTGCAGTGGTGGTTTAGGAGATTTGAAGTGCTGAGCAGAACTTTTTTCACCAGGACTCTCAGACTCTTGTCTTTTCCGCAGTTGGGCCTAAAAAATAAAAATGAAGAGCTCCTTTTTAAGGCAGCATTCAGACTGTTGTTGGAATGCAAGACAAGTAACTCAGATTAATAAAAACAAAAAATCCATGCCTGAACTCAGCGAAGGGATTCCTTATAAACCTAGAATCATAGAATCACAGAATTGTTTAGGTTGGAAAGGACCTTTAAGATCATCAAACTCAACCGTTCCCCTACCCCTGCCATCCCACCCCCAAACCCTGGCCCTCAGCACCGCCTCTGCCCGGATGTTAAATCCCCCCAGGGCTGGGGACTCGACCCCTTCCCTGGGCAGCCCCTTCCAGACCTTTGGGGAAGGAATTGTTCCCCATGGC